GGGGGAGCACGGGTAACATACGTAACCTAAACATCTGTACCCCCATAATATGCTGAAATAAAAAAATATATAAATAAATAAATAATAGTAGCAGTAGGGTACGGGGATTTGAATAAACATGGATTTTGTTTTCATGAAAGAGACATACAAATGGATAATTATAATTGTAAAATATAGTAGTAAGTGTTATAATAAAGGCATATATAAAGTGCAAAAAAAAAAATATATATATATATTACCCCTTTTGAGACCTTCCTTTTCTGTGCTTCATTTGCTGGTATTTTTGAAATTCCTGTCCCCAAAATACCCTGGTACTTAAATAAGCTGCTAACTTAGAGCAGACCAGAATACAAGGTTTATGAATATATTTAGGCTAGCTGCAAATGGCCAGGTGCTCAAGATTATTAGTAAAGAATTTCATGTGATGTTTCTTGCTACATACATACATGGGTAACCTACTTAAAAGTGCCTGTGTGTGTGTGTGTGTGTGTGTGTGTGTGTGTGTGTGTTTAGAGAGGAAATTAGTAATTGTTGAGCTTCAATTTCAGAGTGAATGAGAGGACTTTATATCAGTTTTCTATTTTTAGAAATAATATTTACAAGTTCAAAACGTGTCAGTCCTTAAATATTTTTCATCACTTGACTTCCATTTCTGCTTGTACCATATAGAAAAGTTTCCTTTGAAAATTTTGGGAACTAAATGGTCAAGCTTCTTGCCCATAATAGAACAAATACAAATAAAAGTTTCTCTAGGGTACATAGGAACAATATTTGGTCAATTTCCCTGAGAAGAGTTTGGGAATAAGCAGAAGTATAAGACTTTAGAAGGGTTTCCTGACCTAGTAAATCTTTTAAAAATATTTTACCAGAAAAATCTAAAACATTATGAAGTTTCCTTTTCAGGCACTTATACTTGCCTGAGGCAAAGACTGGGTAAGATGGTATACACAAATTAAATTTCACTCTGACTACCAATCAATAAGTACTTAGTACCTATGGTACATTAAAGGAACATGAAAGAAAACCACCAAAGTCACACATGAAAAATAGCTCTGCTTATGAGCACCTGGCATTGTTTTGTAGCTTGTTGAAAGCTGCCGTCGTAATGGTTCCAGGCCACAGTTAGATCGATCAGACTTCTTTCCCCCTTTAGCTTCAGAGCAGTGCCTGTCAGCCAGCTTTGGTATGAACAGAGGTGTGCAGCCAATGGCCCCACTCACACAGAGGCAGCTGAACAGGGGATTGGGCTGAAACACTTCACCATTATGATAATGTACCCTGTTGAACTCACATCCAACAGCTACAAGGTCTGAAAAGAGAAAAGAGTAAAATCGCCAAAGAAACCATAACTTGTAATAGTCTAGACCTCCAATTATATACCTTAGAAGAAATAGCTGTCTCCTTTATGAATATAGTTCTCAACTTCTTGGGCCCCATTTGGAACCTCCATCACAAAGCATCTGTAGAAAGGTTAAAATGAGGCATTTTCATTAATTGTAGGCTATAAACCTCAAATGGTCATTTCCAGAATTTAGACCAAGTAAAGGCCCTGTTCTGGAGTAAAATTAATTAAACAGTCACCATAAGTATAGCAGTCAATTATAAATCTGAGAGATGGGCTGATGCCTAGTGAGACAGTTTTCCCCAGACATCTAGCAATAGGCTAGGGTATATTCTTAGGAAGATAGGAAAAGTGAATGTCCGAAGAAACCATAATTTATTTAACTACAGTACTGAAAGGTAACTGTGATTTTTCCGTTAAGAGAATTGGAGGAGACTTTCACTTCCTCTAAGGGGTATTCTTGACCTTGGGGATCAGCCCTTCTCCAAGTGTGGTCCACCAACCCCTTGGTAGTACCTGAGAGACCTTCGGGAGATCTGCAAGGTCAAAGCTCTTCAAAATACCAATGTGGTTGGTCTTTTTTACTGTGTTGATATTTGCACTGTGGTACAAAAGTAATGCTGGCTAAAACTGCTGGTGCCATAGCATAAATCAAACTGTAGAGATAGTCATCATATTTTTCCTTGCCATGTACTTATACTTAAAAAAAAAAGGCTAATTTTGCCTAAGAATGTCCTTGATGGCACAGTAAAACTTATTAATTTTATTAAATCTTAAGTATCGAATATGTCTTTTTTAATATTCTGTATGACAAAATAGGAAGTATATATAGAATAGTCTATGTACCAAAGTACAATAGCTGTCTTGAAGAAACTTAAGGAATTATGCTATTGTTTAAGTTGTGAGCTAAACTAGCCACTTTTTTAGTGGGAATTTTACTTTGACAATAATCTATGGTTATTCAAAGTTGGGTATTTTGTAAACATTTTCCTGAAAATGAACAAAGTAAACCAGTCGCTTCAGAGAAAACAGCTGACAATATTTGTTGCCAATGATAGAATTCAAGCCTTCAAGCAAAAATTAGAATTTTGGAAAACTTGTATCTACCACTGAGATCTTTATAGCTACCCAGTATGTAGACTTTTCTGATGAGTGACATTAATTCATGTGATTTTTAAAAATATTGCATAATTAAGTATATCAACATTTTGAACATCTACAAACACAGTGAACTGATATTTTCCAAATAATGCATAGAATGACAAAATTATCCATGAGTAAAAGACTCATTCCAAGTGAGTCTTGGATAGACCAATGTATTAATGTCACAGAGTTCAAAGTTTATTGATGTGGTTTCAGATTCCATGATGCAGGTAATTTTTAAGAAACCACCACTTGTCAAGTTTTAATATAGTATCAAAAAAGTATATTCACAATTATCTGAAAAGCCTGTTAAAATATTCCCTTTTCAATTACGTATCTGTGTAAAGCCACATTTTCTTCATATATTTCAACCAGAAAAACATAGCAACAGATTGAAAGCAGAAGCAGATGTATGAATCTAGCTATCTTCTATTGAGCTAGATACTAGAGAGATTTGTAAAAATGTAAAACAATGCCACTCTTTTCATTAAATGTTTTTGTTTTGGGAAATAAATTTTCTCATAAAAAATATATTATTCCCATTAATTTGCAATGTGTTTGTTATTTTTAAATGAATTAGTAAATATTTTTAAATTTCTAATTCATTATTAAATATCCATAGATAAAACCCATGTAAAAGTTCTTGGGTCCTCGTGAATTTCTAAGATTATAAAGGGATCCTCAGGGGACTAAAAAGTTTTTAAAATGTTCTAGATCAGGGTCAGTAAATTTTCTGTAAAGTAAATATCTTAGCTTTCGCAGGCCGTAGAGTCTGTCGAAATTGACCCAGCCATTGCAAAGCAGCCAGACTCCAAGTAAATGAATGGGCCATGTTCCGATAAAATGTTATTTACAAAAACGGGCCGTGGGCCAAATTGGACACCCAGGCCATAGTCTGTGACTCCAGTTATAGATTATCCCCAATCCCCATCCTCATGGCTGTGCTCTCTTAAAAGTCTTCTCACATTTTGTTTGCAGTTACTTGTGGAGAGCTCTGTCTGACATAATAAATTTTGATTCTGTGAGTGCAGACACAGACTCTGTATCTTTTTTTCCCTGTTGTGTCCCCAGTTGCTGGCCACAGTGCCCGACTCCATAGTGAATGCTCACTAAGTGTGTGTGAGGTTAATGAAATAACCTGTCCAGTTTGAGAGAGAGGGGTGTCCTGAATGCCAGAGTCATGTTTTCCCCATAGAATTACCATAAATAAAAATCATTTTTGAAAGCCTACTGCATACCAGATACTGTGCTGGGTGTTTTAGGTTTTATGTCATTTTATTTGACCTTTCCAGCAACTCTATAAGCCGGGACGTACATATGATGTAACTGAGGCACAGAGAGATTAAACAACTTGATCAAGATTTCTCAGAAGAGCAACCAGGATTTGAACCCACATCTCACATTCTTTCCCAATATGATATAGTGCTGACAGGGGGATCAAGCTATCAAACTTGCATGGCTCCACACGTGTGACTCCAAAGATAGAGCTATTTTTCCTTCATTCCATGCTCAAACTTCTGATAGGAATTTGCCTTCCCACTTAAGACTTTTCTGCAGAGAAACTAAACTGTCCAGGTGACAAGAGTATTTCTCTTCCCTTAGAAGTTTTATTTTTCATCCTAAACAATTTGGCATCCTGAATGAGTGTCAGTGTGTCGTAGGTTTAGATGGTTTGAATCCATCTCTAGAGTTTAGAACCATAAAGCTGAGGGTCAGGTTGCGGTTTGGGGTGACCCCACCTTCTTTTTTTACAAATCTGCTGCAGTAAAAAACACAGTAACTTGATAATTACTTGAGAAGGGTAAGGTTAAAGTAGTATTATGAATACTAGTCATACAGCCTTATATTTTTAAGCAGTGTTATTTTTCAGTTACAGAAAAGGCTGAATTCAGATTGCTTTTGACAGTATTAACAAAAGCTGTCATTTTGTGGCACTTTAAGAAATCAGACTCTGTTTACATAATTTCTCCTATTTTCTATCATTAAAAGCAATTACCTGAGAAGAACTGCAAGATCACCTCAATGCAATGAAAATAACAGGTTTCTGAATGTATGTAAGCGTCTCCTAATTTCACATGGTGTCCAACACAATGGAGCCAATCCCGCTGGTGCATGAAACTAAACCCACCTCATATTTAACCAAAGTAAGCTGAACACTCCAAGTTAACAATTGCCAGGGGAAAAAAAATTCTGTCTAGAATTTTCTGGACCTTTTCCAGCTGGTCCAGAAAAAGACACTTACATGCACACACTCCAGTCTCGTACCGAGGCCTGTCTGCTGAATAGTCACAATACAGCCCTTTGTGTGGGTCACAGAGGTCAGCTTCATTGCAGATGTCCCCAGGTTGCTTGGCACAGATTTTACAGCATCCACAGCCATCCCTCACGAAGCTCACTCCAGGAGGGCAACTGGGCTTCTGATAAGGACATTTGCAAGGCCAGTGACAAAACTGTTTACGCTGCTGCACTTCTGATGCTTCTCCGGGCCTTCCTTCAGGTGTCGCATCTAACGGCCCAGCGTGCTGTGCCCTGCAGCAGAACTTCATTTGATAATAAAGGTGATGTTAGAAATGGCTCCTCTTACTAATTTCAGAGGTATTATAAGAATAGAAGATTTCCCCCAGGCCAGGCAAGGTGGCTCACACCTGTAATCCTAGCACTCCTGGAGGCTGAGGCAGGAGGACTGCTTCAGCTCAGGAGTTCAAGACCAGCCTGAGCAAGAGTGAGAACACATCTCTACTGAAAATAAAAAAAATTAGCCGGGCGTGGTGGCGCATGCCTGTAGTCCCAGCTACTCGGGAGGCTGAGGCAGGAGGATCACTTGAGCCCAGGAGTTTGAGGCTGCTGTGAGCTAGGCTGACGCCATGGCACTCTACCCAGGCAACAGAGCGAGACTCTGTCTCAAAAAAAAAAGGAAGAAGAAGATTTCCTCCAAACAGGTAGAATACAGTGTGGTGAGTTTGTAGTAATAATAACAATACTTACGAGCATTTGACATGATCACTATCTCTTTAAACTATTCTTCACTCGGCTTCCAAGACTTCACTCTTATTTCTGCTTTCTCACTGGCTGCTCCTTCTCGGTCTCCTTTTCTGGTTTCTTCTCATCCTCCTAATCTCTCAACATTGGAGCCCCATGGCTAAGACTTCTAAAGTACCTTCCCTTCACTACATCTCATGTCTCCTGCCCATACCTCCCTTCTGGACTCAGACTCGAACCGCCTACTTAACATCTCCACTGAGCTGCTTCCTAGGCAAGCAAATTTAACACGGCCAAAAACAAATTCCCAATCCCCCCGCCAAGCTACTCTTCCATACAGTTCCCTATTTGAACAAATGCCAATTTCACAGCTCCAAAATACCCTGGGGTCAGATCATTCTTGGCTCTTCTATTTCACATTTTACATCCAATCCCATCAGTAAATCCTGTTGGTTACACCTTTCAAATATACCCCCCTGCTGCCAGCGTGATCCAAGCCACCGTTGCGTTTCACTTGGATGAGTACAGTGGCCTCCTAAATGTTCTCCTTGTTCCCTCCTTTGTCCACTCAGAATCCAGAATGATTCTTTCAAAATGTGTCAGTTCACATCACTCTTTGCCTATTTCAATATAAAATCCAAACTACCTCCAAGGCCCTGCATCCCCTAGTCCCCATGCCCCATCTCCCTTTGCTCGTGACCACTCACCTCCTGTTCCCTTCACTCCAGCCACACAGCCAGCTCTGCCCCTAGACATCTCCATGGGTCACTCTTTCATTGTCTTTAAGTCTGTGCTCAACTTCCTCAGTGAGGTCCTCTTTGACCACCCTTTATACAAGAGCTCTCTACCCCAGCCCTTTCCCCACAGACCTTACCACCTGGCTTATTACCTATTTTAGTTGCTTCTTTTCTGATTCCTGCATCAAGAATGTGAGCTGCTTGAGATCAAGGTTTTTGCCTAATGTCAGTCTTGCTGGCTGCAATAAATACTTATTAAATACAAGAACATGGTGCTTCCTATGTGCCAGGTACTTTTACATAACCTTCATAGCCACATAACCTTCATAGCCACAGTATGCAGTAATTATTATCCCATGTGATAGGGAGAATAATGTTACCCTCAAAGCTGTCCATGTCCCAATCCCTGGAATCTATTAATATGTTACCTTACATGACAAAGACATACTGCAGATGGGACCAATTAAAGATCTTGAGGTTGGCGTCCTGGGCTATCCAGGTGGGCCCAATGTAATCACAAGTACATTGGATCCACCTGGGGGGAAGCAGGCACATCTGAGAAGGGGCTCTGAGGACAGAAGCAGAAGTGGAGCCATGCTACGGCTAAAAGGAGGCCATGATCCAAGGAAGGCAGACAGCCATTAAAAGCTGGAAGTGCAAAGAACATGTTCTCTCCTGCAGCCTTCAGAGGGAGTGCAGTTCTGCAGACACTTGATCTTAGCCCTGTAAGACCCATTTTTGGACTTCAGATATCCAGAACTGTAAATAATAAATTTGTGTTGTTTTAAGCCACTAAATTTGTGGTGATTTGTCATGGTAGCAATAGGAAGCTATATGACCCATTTTATAAATGAGGACCCTGAGTCTCAGATTATTTAACCTGCCCTAGGTTATCAAGTAAGTAGTACATGAGAGATTTAAATCAGGCAGGCAGGTTCCAGAGCCTGAGCTCTCAGCCCTCACCCGCCGTCCTTGACCAGTCCTAGCTCCCACTGCACCCCAGCTTTGACATTGACCAAATCACTGATTCTCTGCATCTTCTCTCCAGCCAAGACCTCTCCCCTTAAACTTATTAACAACTCATTATTTGCTTCTGGATATATCCACTTTGAGGTTCTGCACGTACCTCGCCACCACCCCACCAACCTGCTCCTCAGCTAACAGTTCCCATTTTAGTGAATGGTGTCACCATCCACTCAGGTCCCCAAGCCAGGAAGCTGAAAACCATTCTGGGTCTCTTCCTCATCTTCATCCTTCACACCTGAGAGTCACTGATTTGCAGGAAAGATGAAAGCTCCTAAGCACAGCATACAGGGCCCTCCCCATCTCTTACAGCCCTCATGTTCTTTACGTTCCAGAAAATTAAATAACCTGCCGTTCCCTGCATATATGATGCTGTTCCTCCCACCTGGAACATTCTTCCCCAAGTTCCACTCCTTCTTCACCTAGTTATCCTTCAAGGTTCCGTTCAAGTATCGCCTTTTCCAGGAAGCTCTCTCTAACCTCCCTGCCTTGGACAGTCTTTGAAATGAAATTATCGAGGAAGTGCCTGTTTCCTCCACCAGCCATAAAGCCACCCAACCTCAGGCACTTGCGGTTCATTTGTGGGTGTACCACTGGCACCTAGCACAGTGCCTGGCGATTAGTTTATGTAATTAACTCTCAATGTTTATCTGATGGACCTGAGAGCAATTGGAATGAATCAGAGATCTAAGCCTCTTTCCAACTCAAAAACTCTGCATTATCAGTATAAAATCCTACCATGAAATTCTCAGCCTCTTTTCTTATCATTGGTAACGCACGTATGCCCCAGTAAACACCAACATTTCTGGCTGTTAGTTAAAAGCCGAATGCATAGTGTGAGAATAGATTTTGATGGGGAGGATAGGACAGCACCAGGCTTCTGGAGAAGGAGGAAAAGTGGAGAAGGGCATAGAAATAGGCTAGCATTCTAAAAAATTTTTTAAACTAAAAAAATGTCTTGCTTGCTTCTCAGTTTTGCACAGGTACAGCCATGGCCACCAGCAATTCACATGCCAGGTTCAGGGGCCTCTCAGCTTGTCTCATGTTCGTGGAATCTCTTCAGTCCTCTTGCCCCACCTCTGTAAGGCGTCTGACTCTCCTTTCATTCATCATCTTTTACTCCCAATGGCCTCTCCAAGGTTTTGAGGCAGAATGCTAAGAGTCATCCATCCCAGGGTCGTTCAGTGGCTTATCCCAGTTATTCTGTCATCCTCATCTCCCTAGAACTACCTATTCTTCCCCATTTCACTGCTACTAAATACTATTGCTACAAGTTCCTGACTGGCCTTCCTGCCTCGAGAACGACTTCTCAAGTGCATCTACTATGTTGCTGCTGGAGGCATCTCTTTAGAGAACTATTTGGTTGTATTATTTCTCTCCTTAAAGCCTATCGGCAGTTCCCTGCTGTCTGCAGTGTGCAGCCCAAATTCTGGGCATGATGCCCAAATCCTCCCTGTTCGGGTCTATGCCCACCTCTCGAGGCTTAGTTCTCAGCATGCTCTCCCTCCTGCCTTGCTGTTTACCAGACTCCCCGTGTTGCTTTTCTCCTCCCTGTTTTTTCTCATTTTGCTCCTTAACGAAATGCCCACTCCCAATACCAGCCACCTGGGGATGCCCATTTATCCTTCCAGTCTTGAAGCATTTCCAGATCATCTCTGAAGTCAATAGGTAACACTGTTGAAATCCAAGGATAAAGAGAAAATTATGGCAGTAAGCTGAGAAAAGGGAAACATTACATACAGGAAAAGAACAATAAAAATGAGATCTGACTTCTCATCAAAAGAAGAGGAAGAAGTGGAGAAGAAGATAATGACCAAAGACAATGCTGAAGGAAAAAAAACTGCCAACCTAGAATTCTATATCCAATGAAACTATCTTTCAAAAATGAAAGTTAAATAAAAGACATTTCCAGATAAACAAAAACTGAGAGAAATTGTTGCTAGCAGACTGGCCTCCCAAGAAATACTAAAGGCAGATCTTTAGTCTGAAAGAAAGTTACAATAGATAACTCAGAAATACAGGAAGAAATGAAGAGTCCTGGAAATAGCAAATATGTGGGTAAATATAAAGAACTGCATATTTTTATCTTTCGTCAGAAATATTTTGATTGTTTTCAAAAGCAAAATCTCAAGACAAGAGTCATTAGAATGACAATAGAAAGAATAGGCATTTTGACAACATGTCTGAGCTTTAGGATAGCTCTGTGGTCTTAGATTTGATCTTTGAGCCTCAATCTCCTCTGTAAAATGGGATTAATAGTATTCACCTTGTAAGGTTGTTTTAAAAACTGAGATCATGACTAAAGTGTCTAGCACAGCGCTTGGCACATGGCAAATGTTTGATAAATGTCAGGCATTATCAGGCCCTTCAACAACTCATAAAAGCGAAGTTAAACGCAAAATAATACTTTCTTACTGCTCTGCGTATAACACATTTTTGCGTTTGTTTATTTTGTACACATGTCTCTACATTGGAATGCTTGCTGTTAGGAACATGTAGCAGCTCTCAATCCACAATGACAGGCCTTTTCTCAAGAATGGTGGAACAGGAGATATTAATAGCTGGCCCGATCTCGAGTCTGCTGGGGAGACCTGCCCCGCCTCCTAACAGCAGGAAAGACCTGGACCACTGACACTCTTGTCATGATCCTTTTGAAGTCATAAATCTATTTTTATATAGTATATTTTTGTATATATTTAGATATAGATATATATAGATATATATTTATATATAGTATAACAATTTCCAATCCCTTGTTTTCTAAGATGCATCTACTACTTATTGCCTCAAGCAGCTATTAACTCAGACATGTCCATGTTTTCTAAGTCACCAGAAGATTTTGAAATTTGTGTCCCCGGTGCCAACAATAACCTCCACTGTGTAAATAAATCAATAAAATAAGTCATCCTATTTTAATCTTCTTATTTAAAACTACTAAGGCAATGAATTGCTCATATTAAATTAACCTTCCCTTTGGTCTGTGGCTTGAAATATTTCAAGCATCCACGGACTGATTCCCTTTCATGAAGTGAAAAACACATGGATTGAGAAAAGACAAAATCGTAGAATGTTTTAAAAACGTAAATGTTTGTCCCAAAGTGCTCCTTTCAAATAAGGACAGGCTTAACTGAAAAAAGGTTGTTGTCCAAATCCGTTTTTCCAGGGTCTCTGCACATTTTGCAAATAACTATGGAAAGTTGAGCCCCAGCCTGGAACCGGCATGAAGAGACACTGTGTCCTGCCCCCGCCGGCCGCACGGCGCGTCCCGAGTAGGCGCTGTGCCTTAGACTCCGCTACGAAAATATATATAAAGTGTGGGGGCTGTTCAGACTCGGCAAAAGCAGGCTTCAGCGCCAATGGCTGAAAGGGAGAAACGGTTTACGTTTCTTTCATGAAGCTAATGAACTAAAGCAGATCTTTATTTGGAGAGGAAAATGGCTTCCTATTTCTTAGGAAGTGTTTCCACAAGTAATTTATCCTCCCTCTTCCCCCATCTTCATTTTTAAAATTTTTGGCCCGAAGAACTACGCATGGCTGTGGTCTCCAGGAGGCAAGGAGAGAGGAGAGGGAACTTACCTGCGCCAGGCCAGCGAGGAGGAGAGTGGAGAGCAGCCCCTGCATGTTGCTGGGAACGCAGGGCTGGCCTGAGGGACAGAGGAGTCGCAGCTCCAGCTCGCTCACTGCTCAGGGTGCACAAAGCTGCCCTGTCTCCTCTGCAAGTCCCACGGCTCCTCCGCAGAAGAGCACACGCCTCCACCTCCCACGCTACTGACTTTCAGGCTGCTCTTTCGTTTTTAAGGATCCGTTTTAATGCCCTGTTGACTTTCGTGGAACTCTTCTGATACTCACCTCCACAGTTAGCGTGTCACATGTCAGGAGAGGGTGAGCACTTTCCTCCTGGACCCCCAAGGGCAGGTGAAGCAGCGACTGTTCCCTGAGTGACTGCGCTACCTGCTCCTGCAGGGCAGAGCCTGCCCTTGGGCACACGGTGGAGTGAGACACCTTCCCCTTCCTCGCCCTCGGTTTCTCCGTCTGTGTGCCCTGCTCCAGGGCCTCCCTGGGCTGCTTCCTTTTCCTATGTGGCCCCCAAGCACAAGGTGCAGGCCTGGTCTGCCCCATAGCACCCCACCCCAGAGCAGCCCTGGCCTTCTCCCTCGGCATCAATGACAGGCTTCCAAAGGACGCCCCTGGCTCCGCCAGCTCTGCTGCTCTCTGATGCTCCCGCCGTGCCCTGCGCTGACCTCTCCTGCAACACGGTTCTCGCACCAGCTGGAAAATCCAGAAGGAACAAGGGGTGGGCTCCTGCAGTACCTGGCCTGATAGAAGCCTCTTTCTGTGGCCACGGTTTCATGACAGATGACAGTAAAGTTAACTCCAATCTTTCTGGGCCTAAAATGAAGTAATTAGGCTGGTAGTAATCATTCATTTAACAAATTAAGATTTTTTTAAAAAGTGTGACAGGTTTGTACCCCTTCTGGCCACCAGCCCATTTCCCCATGTTGTCACATGTGACTTTGCTTACCCCACTTTCTCGACCTCGGCCTTTGGTCGTGTAACTTAACTCGCACGTGCAGTGGAGCTCTGTCTTCCTGTGCGTCCAGTGTCCGGTCCACCTGCAGCCCCATCCAGGGCCTGTTTCTGTTTGCTTTGACCTGTTACTTACCCTGGACTCCCTGCTCACCCTTGCTTCTGTTCCAGGCAGTCACAATTCTGTAAAGACATGGTAAGAAAAGCCTCACTCAGGCCTGAGCTGAGGGTCTAGGAAAAACTAGATTCTCCTTTAACCACAGGGAATCCTGTGGCAGGGACACCACAAAACATGCAAACAGACTCTGCACAGCTTACTAAGTGGTCAGTGAAACCATAAGCATATGCACATCGAGCAACATGGAATATCCAGGCAGTCGTGGTGTCAACACCTTGTCCTGCCTCCCTAAGAAGCAGGACAAAACCCGAGAGTGGGTTAGGAAAGAAAGATAGGTCTTCTGGAAGTCCAGTCTGATCTTTTCCCTTTTATCCTCCTGATTTGGTGCCATTTGCTCTTTGGGTTCCCAACCTCAGTGATTGCCCCTCACCGGCCATCGAAATGGATAATTTCTTATTTCCTGGTTCATCTACCAAAAGCAGAGCAGTCGCAGCCTGGGACTGGGGTATTCATCAACTGCATGTCTCCGGCTCCGCCTCTCCTGTTGCGAAGATGACACTGCACGTACCTGTGCACTGTTTGAACCTAAGGACATGCACGCTCCTCCCGGCTGCTCTCTGTGCAACGCTGGCAGCCGCAGCCCCTTCCCTGGAAGTGTCTTCCCGCCCTCTGCAGTCTCACCGCTGTGGAGCAGGGAAGATGTCATAGTGAGCACCCTGCCTCTTGGTAGGAAAGGAACATCTCGCTTGAGAACTAACTTTCGAAACCTCCCCCAGTGTACAGAATGCAAGGCTCCGGGTTACTCACACCCGCATGTGTTTAGATGTCTCCGGCCACGGGGGCTCCTATTTAACTATTTCAAGCCTACGAGGAGTGGACTAAAGTGAATACAGTATTTTTAGAGGCTGCTGTCTTTGACTTTATGTGATAAGAGCTATCACAGTGTACATCCTGCTCTGACCACCTCCCTCTATTATCTCATCTAACAAAGCTAATCTGTCTGGGAGCTCATTTCACAAGTCCTCAGCTTGCGCTGTATGTTCAAATAGACACAGCACTAAGCAGAGCTAAATCCACGCCATGTTCTATAATTTACAAGCAAGTTTCCCATGTATTATCTTTTTTAATTTCACAGCTCAGTGAGGTAGGCAAAAGCAGTGTTACCATCCTCATTTGACAGATTAAAAAGTTGGAGCTAAGTGATTGTACTTGGTCAATAAAACACACTTAATCCCTGCCCTCTAGAGCTGTATCGTCTACTGGGGGAGACAACACTGAACAAATAAACGCACAAAATAGCCCTCATTGCAAACCGGATAAAGGCTAATAGTAAAGGAGAGGAAACTATGAGAGAGAATGACAGTTGGCAGCTAATTTAGATTGGGGACAGAAGAGACACCTCTGAGGAAATGATGCTTACAGAGTTGAGAGACAAAGCCAGGCAAGGGGACAGGAGAAGACGCCTGGTCCAGGGCTCTTTCCACCAGCAAGACTCACACCTCTCATGGTGACGCACTCCATCTGCACAGAGCACATCCCGCCACCCTCCCGTAGACTCCTGACATCATTCAGTCAGGAACATCGTCACAGCTAGAACATTCCCTTCTCCTGGGCGTATGGACCATCTGGGCAGGCAAAGGCCAGAAGTGCACCTTTGGTCGGCACACTTAGTACAGGATGGGGCATGACCTCCTCGTCCCCTCTTTTCTTCTTTTCCTGTCGTAGTTGGTTATGGAGAGAGAGGTATTGTCAGCTTTCAGAAAAGGGACAGATGTTGTTGCTGGAGTGACGTTTTCAAAGTGTGCTGTGAGGGAGGGCAGGTATTCGCGTCCGTGAAACTAGAGGTATAACAATAACAACGGCTAACATTTGCTGCCTTCACTAGTCCCAGATTGCACTAAGTGGCGTGTATGTATTAACCCATTTGATCCTCCCAGCAACAGCTGGGACAGGTACTATTGTTACCACCTTTGGTTTATTTACAAGGAGACTGGGGCAAGGTCGGTGGAGAGCAAGAACCAAGACTCCGAGCACTCACCATGCTCTGCTGCCTCTCTGCATGGGCTGCAAATGGCATAATAATCTGTACCAGGATGAGTTATTGAGACACTAATTTGCATTGAATTCTCAATATTTTCCTTCCTCAGGCTCCCCTCCCAGATTTCAAGAGGTTAGTGAGCCCTTTATATTCCCCCCGATCCATCCTCCGTGCAGAAAATGGGAGCTGCTAGAATATTGGATCCTGTCTTTTGAGATCCTGTTTTCATCTCACTGCAGAAGTGCTGCTGGGAGAGGAGAGGGAGAGGCAGAGGAAGGGGAGTGCAGCCCGTGGGCTGGGTGAGGACTGGGCTCAGGCCCTCTCCGTGCAGTAGCCCCGGGAGGTGGCTGAAGCCCAGAGGCACTTGGTGCTCCACGGCGCTTCCAGGGACGGACCCGGTACCAGGGGTCCCCGGGTCAGTAACGTTCCCCAAAGAACTTTGAAAGAATACAAAGCCTCAAGCTCAGTGTAGACGTGGACCATCCAGATATTGGCAGAAAACTTAGAAATGGGTACCAGAGGCCTGGCCTCTTTTCCAGGCACCTCGTGAGCCTCCTGGATTATTCAACTTCTGCCGCTGCTGCTGGTGTGTGTGGTGGTAATGATGGTGGTGGTGGTATTGGGGTTGGGGAGGAAGGCACCAGCGACACCTCAGAACAAATCCATCTCCAGATGGAGGTCGGGGAGGAGGGTTCAGAGCCAGGTTTAATTTGAATGAAAGAAAATGAATTCCAGGAGTGTGTGCTCCCCCTGACCATTCACGGGCCTCAGCGCCAACACCAGTGCCGGGGCACCCGTGCCGTCGCCTCCGGTGCTCTGTTTGCTCCCAGCTGGGGTGGCAGCCTGGTCTCTCACAGTCCGGTGTGTCTTCTGGCCAGGCTGCCACGGCAGGCCTGACAGCGCTGGAGGACATTCACACGGCAGGTGCTCCATAGACACTTGCTGGTCATTTAAAAGGACTCCTTTTTAAGTCACCTTATAACTGATAAAGCTAAGCGTGTCTATAATTTTTTATACATTTATCCACTTCATCCTTTTCTGCCTGTTTGCAAACTACTACCAAGCACAGTCATGTGCCACTTAATGACAGGAATATGTTCTGACAGATGTCACTAGGCAATTTCCTCATTGTGCGAACATCACAGAGTGTATTTACCCTAATGTAAATGTATTTGTATGTAAGTATGTATGTAATGTATGTACGTATGTATGTAATGTATGTAAGTGTATTTACACGAACGTAGATGGCATAGCCTACTCCACACCTAGGCTACGTGGTGCAGCCCATTCCTCCCGGGCTACAAGCCTGTACAGCGTCTAACTGTGCTGAATACTGTAGGCAAGTGAAACTCATTGGTGAGTACTTGTGTATCTCAACATATCTAAACACAGAAAAGGCACAGAAAAATATGGTATAAAAGATAAAAAATGGTACACCTGTATAGGGCACTTACCTTGAATGGAGCTTGCAGGACTGGAAGTGGCTCTGGGCGAGCCAGTGAGTGGGTGGTGAGTAAACGTGAAGGCCTAGGACATTCCTGTTTGCTACCATAGACTTTATAGACGCTGTACACTTTGGCTACATTAAATTATAAAAATATTTTCTTCCTTCAATAATGAATCGACCTGAGCTTGCTGTAACATTTTTACTTTATAAACCTCCAAATTTTTTTAACTTTTTGACTATTGTGTAATAATACTTAGCTTAAAGCATAAACACATTGTACAGCTGTACAAAATAGTTTCTTTGTATCCTTATTCTATATGCTTTATTCTATTTTTAAAATTTTTTATTTTATTTTTTCTTTTTAAACCTTTCTGTTAAAAACCAAGACATACACACACATTAGCCTAGGCCTACACGGGTCAGGATTGTCAACATCACTGTCTTCCGCCTCCACACCTTGTCCCACTGGAAGGTCTTCAGGGGCAATAACA